GGTGTCAAGGCTCTGTTCTCACCTACCATAAAAGTATGTTCAGTTTTTACTCTTGTTGTTTGCTGACACTGGAATGTTTTACTATTTAACTAAATGCACCAATGACTCTAGATGCTATTATTCCATTTACCTAAAAAAATATATTTTTTTGAAACGAGAATAGAAAATCCCAAATTTCTTTAGCATAAGCTTTTGACACAAAGTTAAAGAAAAATGTGTTGAACCGTCTGTACAATGCTCTATCAAAATAGTCCTTTAAGGCAATTACAGTTTCCTTAGCATAATCAGAGTAAAAGTTGTACAGGTATTTGACATGAATTTCTATAACGTAACATAAAAAAACAAAGGAAATCACTGTAAGAGATATCCATCAGTTTGTTACAAAAAAATAACGTACCCTCATGAAACTTAAGTGTACTTTGGATTTTAAGTTGAAGGCTGTCCAGAGTTTTTAGAATCAGAAAAAACATCAACATTATTGGCAGTTTCTCTCAAGCTTAACTTAACTAAATGTTTGACATTTTTTAACATATCTATTTCCAGAGTTATATCCCAGACCCTCTGAGGCTCAGGGAGTTTGTGTGCTCTCCTCCTCCGGGGGGTGAGAGACTGTTCTGTACAATGATCCGTCACGGGGAGGAGACCTCAGGGGGACATTACACCCTTTACTTGGAGTACCTAGGGGGACTGGTGCCCCTGCTCAAGGGAAAGAGAGCCAGTAAACTGAGACCAGACTTCATTATCTACGACCCGAAGATCAAATCTTCAGGCAGAGGTGAGTCAGAGTGGTGCATTTTTTTCAGGTGGTTTACACTTACTGTGGCACAAATGCGGATTATCTGCTTGATGACCAACAAGTAGTTTGTTAGAATTTGTTTGAGGTGGATTGCTAGCTGTGAGCGAATATTCATAGAATTGAGTCATCGGCCCACTAAGTGGCATTAAGCAGCTTCATATTAGACAGGAGTACACCTTAGTTGAAAAATTCAGTTCAAATTCACAAGCTCTAAAAAACTTGTTAGGTGCTTAAATATTGGCTGTGTGCTATACCGCATGGTGCGCTCTACCTCACAGTGTGCTCTACCTCACGGTGTGCTCTACCTCACGGTGTGCTCTACCTCACGGTGTGCTCTCACGACATACATTTTCAAGTAAAGTACCAAGGCAGATAATAACTATAATATTTGGGTAAAGCCCGGTGAAGACAGTTTCTTGCGTCACCATTTTAGAACCTGTATCATGTGCAACATGGTTTTTCTTAATCAATTCTTCAACACCTTACCAAAATCTGTACGGCCGTACAACTCAGAAAACATTTTTAAAATGTACAAAGTACTGGTAAACTGCAGAGGTTGGCACGTATGGGTAAAGGTTAAATTTATGTTACCAGGTTTCAGAAAAATTTAAAAGAAATAATTTCCAGTAAAACATAATTCATCTAAGTCTCATGTATCAAATTTTTTTCTGTTTTCATCATTGTGAAACATAAGGATTCCTCAATTCGTATTATGTGAATTTCACAAAAGTAAATCTCCTAAAAGTAGTATCCTAACACTGTGAATGACAGCACATGAAATTTGTGATGTGTCCCATGCTGTGACTAGAAAAAAAAAACATTTCAGCAGAGCAGACCCAGCAAGGGGGTATTGAGAGTGACACCAGCTCGGAATCTGATACTGATGTCTACACCGATGGCTGCGGCTCTCCCCGCATGCAGAGACGTCGACGCCACAAAGTGTTCCGAGCAGAGAGGGTCAACAGGAGCATCACGTTCAGGACTCTGGATGAACTGATGTACGACGACAACTTACCAGAGGTCTGAGAAGTTTTAAATGTCATTGTGGTTTGTTTTTTTATTAGGAATTGAAGAATGTAGGATGTTACTTTTGAAATTTAAATGAACTAATTATAAGAGTGTTGGACTGTGATAAAGCTTTAAATTAGATTAATTAGACACAAACAAAATATGTAAATAAAACATGTGTTCACCTTTAATGATGATTTTAAAAATTGGCAACTCCTGTGTAAAAGAAAGAGCATATAAAGCCTTTGTCCGTCCGGTTTTAGATAAAGCATCTTCAGTCTGGGACCCAATTACCCAGAAGAGCATTGACAAGTTGGAGGGGCTCCAGCGACAGGCGGCTTGCTTTGTCCTGAACTGATACAGGAATACTTCTAGTGTTGGCAGTATGCTAGAAACACTTGGCTGGTCACCATTGGAGGAACGACGACGACAATCCAGGCTCTCCATGATGTACAAAATAAATAATGGGCTGGTCCACTGTTCCACTATTAAACAGAAACTTCTCCCTCTCCCCCATAGACAGCGACGAGGCCATGACAGGCAATCCCGGCTAATACCAGCAAGAAGCCAGCATAAGAACTGCTCATTCCTGCCCAAGACAATCAGGGACTGGAACAAGCTTCCAAAAGAAACAGTTGAGGCGACAACACTAGACACATTTGCGTCTATTGCCTCAAGCGTTCCAACCCCCATTCCATGATTCCTTCACAAAGTAGCACTTGTAATCATTGAAATATCCTCATCAGCACCAGGCACAGAAACATTGCAAATCCCCTCTACATGCATAGGAGCCAAAATGATCAATAAATTGATCGTGGGCCCTTAATATATAGAAGAAGTACAAATGCAAACATTTGGGCAAATGCCTGCATCAGTACAAAAAACAAAACATTTGAATAAGTATAAATTATTATTTGAAATTTAAACCTGAACCTGAAAGGTCCTCCTTAATCAATAATGCTGTGGTGATAGATTTAACACAGATTTATTTGGCTGTGCTATAGAAAGTAGAATTTCAGTCTTTGTGACAAGAGTTAACTCTTTTCTGATAGTCTTCCAACACATTATCTTTCCGAATATTCTGTCTCTAGGTTGTGTGGTTTGATGTAGATCCTCATGGTTGTTCAAATTTGTAAGTTAGTACCGCTCAACTCAGCAAATGTGTCTCGTTAATATTTTCAATTTCTCTCATCCCCAGACCAACAGGTTAGTGGAGGTAACCTCCAATATCTGGGGCACCAAGTTCCAAATTACAGGAGTGGCCTCCTCCCTGCCGGCCTGCCTGGGTCAGGTTGTCTACAAGACATCATTGCTTCACCTGCAGCCCCGACAGATGACCATCACCATCACAGAAATGACCCCCTCCCGACAGGTGCTGTCCCGAGATCCCAACTTCACCCCTGCACCCGTAACAGACGACGAAGATAGTTGCTGTAAGTGTTGGATCACTCATTCGGACATGCGTTTGTCTATATCAGTAGATACATCAGAACTGTATTCAAAGAAAATGGGACCAAAGCAGAGGAGAGTGAAAATAATTTGACAACTTGGAATTCCCTTTATAAATTCCTGTGTATTCCCTTTATAAATTCCTGTGAATTCCCTTGATAAATTCCTGTGGCTTTTTAATGGGCATTGAATGGGTTTCAACGAGCTTTAAATGGCTTTTTAATGAATAATAATAAATGTAGTAATCAATGAACAAGTGGTTAAAACAATTTACTCTCCTTAACAATTCTTGTCATCAAACTTGTTATTTCTTCATGGTGCCCTCCTATAGACTCTTGCTGTAGTGGAAAAGCTAGGGAACAAATGCTAAATCTTGTGATGTAATTCCTGAGTGGATCTTGTCTGCCCCACTCTCTATGTGCACTGTGATGTGCTCCCATTCATAGATTCTCTACACATCAAATGCATATATATATAAAAAGAGAGAGAGAGAGTCAATACAGCCAAGTGTTGGTGGATATATGGATGGGATCTGGAATTATTAAAGATTGTGCACCTCCTCCCGTATTTCACACATGCAACGAGGTTGCATTGCCCCAGCTAGTGTATCATCTAAATATTTAAAGAAGCATGTAGTTAGGTATAAGTAAGTATGAGCACGTCATATCTTTTAGCACATATGGGTACGTCATACCTTGGCATGTATGGTTAGGTCTTATAGCTTTGAATCTATCCGTAAGTCATGTATCAGGCATCTACTGTCTACAGCAGTGAGAAACTATTTTTGTCTCCCATTAGTTGATTAGTCTCCCATTAGTTGATTAGTCTCCCATTAGTTGATTAGTCTCCAATTGGTTGATTAGTCTCCTATTAGTTGATTAGTCTCCTATTAGTTGATTAGTCTCCTATTAGCTGATTAGTCTCCTTTTAGTTGATTAGTCTCCTATTTGTTGATAAGTCTCTCATTTCTTACTTGGAGCCTCTTCACGGTAGATACTTCTAAACTCATTCATTTATCCATTCCTCCATTAATATATTTGATGGCTTATTTTCACACTTCCATTTCAGGGCCAAGTGAGGGTGAATTGGCCGGAGAGAAGAAAACAGTGGAAGTCAGCGTGCATGATGCTCCCTCGCTCCTGTCTGAAGACATTTTCAGGGGAGATGGTGGCAGCCTGGAGGATGGGCTCAGGTAATCATTCAAACTATGACAACACCAAACAACGACACTAAAGACATCGGGGATATGTTTGTTGTGCTGAAATCTTGACATGTCCTATCTAAATGTTCATGAAGGATCAGTCGGTCGGCTTATCTTTTGTGCCTTTTCTATTTGGTCCTCTAGACCAACCCTGCAGTGCTGTGTAATATAATGTAGACATTCCTTGTAGTGCTACATGTAAAGTCAGGCATCTCTCAAAAGAAACCAATAAACTTTGGTCATCAGGAGTTGGATCCTATCTTAACTTCAAAAATGTATTGTAACCGGCCCTTGTTAAAGTAATGTGGAAAAACTTTATTTTCAATTCGTAACATAACCAGACTAGCTATGGACAAATGCCAACCATGTTTTCTACTTGAAATCCTTTCACAATTATTTATAGATTTGTTTACCTGATACGCCTGGAATTAAATTTAATAAAAGAAAAAATGTTAATATTTTCTTCTCAGATCTTCAGGTGTTGACTTCTCACTTATAGAAAACGGTACACCACTAAATGGAGACTTGACCAGTCCTGGAGGTAAATTGGGCGGTTCAGGCACCGTACGATCGCGGTCCCTGTCCCCGGTACGTAACTCGCTCACACAGACCACGCCAGCGTTCAAGCAGGATGGAACGAATGGCGATGTCCGGCCCGACCACGCCAACGCCGGTCTCCAGGGTGCCCGCCCCAAGGCCACCATCAACAAACGTAACCACGGTGGAAGCAGTCCAGGCAGCGGTAATGTTCCGTCCCACAGCCCCAAGCTGTCAGGTGTCAATGGTAACAAACATGTGGCTGTTTCCCATTGTAACTATCCCAGCGGCCAGCACATGGCATCCAATGGAGTGCAGGCTCACTCCGGCCAAACAAGTGCCAACAGGATAGAAGCTTTTCCATCTGTACCTTCGAGCACACCGGGCTGCAAGAAGCTGGACAGTGGGGCTGGGTTCAAAAGAGTGGACATTGTCAGCCAGGACAAGGGAGGGGTTGCGGGTCTGAGCGTGGTGGGGATGTGGAAGAATGAGGAGACGTGCACGGCCCAGGTCACCAAAGACCAGTCCACAATAGCTCAGCAGGAATCAGGCAGCAATAGCAGCAGTGTTGATGGGAACCTGACCCCATCGGGTGGGGTGGGGCCAAGGTGGGCTGACCCCGCAGCCCACGCTGTTAAGTTACTGGAGGATGCCCTGACGGAAGGTTCAGATTTGCCTTTTGAAAATAATCTTGTCGCCGACTGCAGTCCTACAGCACCGTACTGTCTAGATCTGCACAGAAGGTAGGATATGTTATGATAAAGGAATATTGTGGTAGATGCTATAGTCAGGTTATGAAATATAGAAATAAAAAGCACAAAGTAAGTGAAAAATTGATAAAAATACTCAACAAACATTGTAGTCAAAAGTCATCTCCACCCTACAAAAATAATAATAACATAAATTGAAGACAAAAATGAATAAAAAAATAGTTTTAACTTGTAGGATTCACTGGTTCTTAATTCAGTGAACCAGTTTTCTGTTCTTTCTTATTCCCTTACAATAGTATTTGCTCAATCAGTGCAAAAATGTTTACCCTTAAGTTAAAAAGAAGTATTTTACAGAAAAAAGGACAAAATAAAGATATTATTTGCAAGATGGCTTTCTTTCTTTTACTCACTCCATTCATTTGATACATCTACTTATAAAAAAAACTTATTAATCTATTACAAATTGGTGATGTTACAAACAAACAAAAATAAAGGTGCAATATTTTCAATTTTATTCTTTAAACAAACCTCAATGTATTTGAGGATAAATTGAAGAAATTTTTTTTCAAATAGATATATTTTTAATGGTGCTTTTATTTATTTATTTATTTATGTATGTATAATATAATGCTCTAATAAAATCAATTTGTGCTTCATGTTTTTTAAATATTATTTAAAGAATGTTGAGCTTACCCAGTGGTGCCTGAGAGGTGACCACATTTTTCAGTCATGTCAAAATTTAGGAAATTTTGACCCATGACCCCATATTAGACTTGTCAGAGAATAAAGCACTTCTAACGAAATAAGTACAAAGTTGAGGTACAGCAGATGATTTCCATTCTATATTCAGAGACATTTTAAAAACTTGCATCACACAGGTGTCATTTAAAATTATCCCAGTTTTTCATTGGTAAAATACTCACCTTTGGTCTGTGCAATTTTAAAAAATTTCTATTCCATTTTCTTTTTAATTCTTAAAATAGATTTTACCTTACATCTGTCACACATTATATTAGACTGTAAAAAAAGAATATAAAATCATGCAAAGAATCTCTGACATTGCAAGAAAAATTGTCTCCTATTCATTTTTGTCTGTTCATGTCTTATAATTCAATGTACATTTTAAGAATCATTAGAATTTATGGGGTATATCTAATCTTCTAGTATCATAATTATCCCTTTCAGCTTAAAGAACTCTAATATTTTATCTCGTTGTTTCAATATCCCCAGACTGTACTTGGCCCAGTATAACATTGTGGACACTGGGGCGCCCATATCACCAAGCAGCTGCCCTTCTTGTCTTCCTATCCAGAGTTTGTCCGAGGCAGACTCGGTCTTCAACTCAAATTCTGTCCCCATGACAGAACATTCTAAGCTTGTGGCTCAGCACAACCTGAGAAACACTTCGGCCAACTCATCTAAAACTGGGGACGGGGCGGAGGGGCAGGCATTTCACAAAGCAAAGCAGGCCCCCAGTAAGTCCTCGTCAGGGTTGCCCGCAGGTCATTCTGCATCAGTATTAGCCAGTAGTGGTTCTAAAAGTATCAGAGGGGAGGACAACCCTCTAACCATAGTGACTTATTGCAGCAGTTGTCAGTTCAGTGCAGCGCCCAGCAACTCTTTAAAGCAATCCATCGTAGATTCCAATGTGCCAGATTCCTCCGCCATCCACGGTGCAGGTGACGGATCCCTCGCTCACCCCACCACGTCAACAGCATTAGCAGAGCATCATCATGTCACTATCATACAGTGCCCAGATTCATACTCGAGTCTCAGAACTTTACCCTGTGCCCACAAACATCATCACGACAGAGGGCTTTACTCCCAGAACTATTGCACCCATCTTCAGTCATGGCCTGACCATGAGGACGAGCAGTCTCACCCATCTGCCACCCGTCCAAATTCCTCCATGTCAAAAGATCTCTCTTCCTTGGACAAGCTCAGCCTGATTCTGTCAGAAGATCCGTCTGCTCAGAATTCATCCCACAACTTCCGCTCCATGCCGGGGTTTGTCATGAAGAACCCCGACCTTATCAACATTCTTCCAGAAAGGGACTCCCCCTCTCCCGAGAAAGACTCTTCCGAGAACTCCGAGGACCAACAGTCCTCATTGTATCCCATAAACACAGACTACCTGGGTAACCACATCCAAGACATTGAAGTCCAGCAGACCAGTGCCTCTTTGCCTTCCTCCCCCATACGTTTTGGGGTCAAGCCCGACCCGGCTGCCCAGAACATTCATGAGGAGATCCTGAAAGGACGCTGCAAGCATCTGAGCCCCTTGCTGGGCAGGAAAGGAAGGGACAGTCCGGTGACCTCACAAGATCCTTTCCTGGGAATGGAAGATCTCAAGTTTTCTCAGCAGTACCAAAGCCTTGAGGCATTTCAGAAAGCTCAACTCAAGCAAAAGGTTTGGTATTTAAATTTTTTAAAATATTTTTAATTATGATTTAACCTCTGTTTAAAAATGTAATAATTGAAGCTCTCAATTCAGCTCTGTGTGCTTGAATGAATTGGGTTTGTGTACATCATCAGATGAGGCGTAGATTGAACAGTGCCTCCGGTAGGTTGGAGCAGGCCAGGACCTTCACCATGCACAATAAGGCGCCTCTATGGAACGAGACCAGCCAAGTCTACCAGCTGGACTTTGGGGGGAGGGTAACCCAAGAGTCAGCTAAAAACTTCCAAATAGAGCTCAGAGGCAAACAGGTAATTCATGAGAACCTGCAAACAGGTTGTAGGAATGCAAACTATAAAGTGTGTGTAAAAACTAAAATGAATGTGTTTTTTATTTTTCTTGGAGTTTGGAATTAGAAGTTTCATAAATTATTGGTTAGGTTTCTACCATACAATTTAAATATAAAATCTTCTTGAGAAAATTGAGTTTCTTTAAAGGAACCACAGAAATTCTGTTAGAGGCCATTAAGATATTGTTGTGTCATGTTGTTTTGTTTGGGTTTTTTTTTCAATTTACCTGCCAGGTGACATAACTCTTGAAAAACTATTTTTATATGCATAAAATTTTTTTTTTAAAGTTTAAATCCATTTCTAATGACCAGTACTATCTATGTGTTGCAGGTCATGCAGTTTGGCCGAATAGACAACAACGCCTACACACTGGACTTTCAATATCCCTTCACAGCAGTTCAGGCTTTTGCCGTAGCACTTGCAAATGTAACGCAGAGACTCAAGTAATACAGTGCATACATAGAGATATAAGCTTTTTGCAAAAGCACTTTGCAGTTTGTTGAGCTTCTGTCCTGGTTTGTGTGTCCAGTGTGTATGTTTTTGCACAAAAATTGAAACAACTGCCTGCCATTTTTTTCAAGATTATTTGTCCAATTTTTAACAAGTTTAGTCCCTTTACAATATCAACTAATTTAAAAATAATTGTAATTTGACATGTTTAGTAGTCCATTTTACTGGTTCTTGTAATGCTGTTGTTGTTTTAAAATAAAATCGCAGTGAATATAAAATGGACTGACAGATGAACTTAACACATTCAAATTGGTGTGTCTAGGAATTGTCATAAAAAACATGTGTCAACTGGGATTACTTTAAGCTGGATGTTTTGCCCTGCAAATCTTAGGAAAGTTTTGATGATGCTAGTACAGTTGAAAATTGAAGGATGAATACATATGTTTTATGCATTTACTAGTCACAATGTAATATTATCACAACACAATTCTTTGTATATTGGAGTTTTCATTGTTAGTTTCCAGATGCCTAGATGCCTAAAAAAAAATAAAGACACATTATTTTATCAACTCCATGATTAAATCTTACAATAATTAGTTTTCAAATTGTTAAAATGAAATCATATGACTGAAAAATCCAAGAGATTTTTTTGCTATTAATTATTTTATGCATGGAAGAATATTTAAAATTATAGTCATTTGGAAGTTAGCATTTGTGTTGACATTTTCTGTTGACAATTATTGGAAGCTTCTTGTAGCTGATTTTAGGATCATAGGATTAAAGAAAAGGTAACATGACAATGATGTAAATTTGAAATTCAGAATATCATTTTTGATTTTGATAACTTAAAAACCTTCACCTGAGTTTCTGATGGATTTTTTTAACAAAAACAATGACTGCATTAACAATATTCTATGATTATTAATCCGTTCATTACTGCTGGTTTTGGGCATCAATTTTTGCTGTCTCAGCAATAAAAAAAACTTACTAAAAGAAGAAAATTTTCGGTATTTTTCATTCTCTATCCAATTTGCTTATTAACTTCTCTATAGATTAACAAATAAAGAACTATATACGTCGATGTGACATCCTTGGTATTTCAGAAAAGTTCTTTGCTCTTTGTTATGATGACAATGTGGCATCCTTGGTAATTGAAAGTGGGTGATCGTGTCGTCGCGTCGATGTCATTGGTAGAGAAAGTGTTAACGCAGGCTATAAATATAATAAAACTTAATGTAATCTATATGTATTTTTTTTTTATATTTGTTGTGTAAAATGAAAGAAAACATTCCCATGAGATGGTCCATGAAATCCAAGGGGTTTTAGTAATAATGTTTGACACATTCCCTCTGTCATCGGTGGAGGAGGAAATCTGTTCTTTGGGACCACATAGGATTGAGACTAAATATTTAGACATGGGAGGTAAAGACATCCGTCAATTAACAAATGTGTAAAAACCTGTTCTGCAACCCATGGTTATTGTTGGTGTGAAGCTGGAATTAAACTTAATGATACAAATAAAATATTCTCTATTGTGAAATAACAACGTGCCAAGGTCACTGCTGTAAGTTTGGCTTTTTAAATCCCAACTTCTTGTTTTTTTGTTTTTTTTACACTAATAACCAAAACTTATCTCAGTATATCATCATGACTGACGTTTGTATCACAAGATTGCCATCCCAACTATCACTGCCTGAAAGCGACGTCTGACAAAATCTATTTGGGTTATCATTCCCCTAGTCCAGCTCTTTAAAAAAAGGGTTAAGAGAGTCATTCTAAAGGTTTGGTCCAACATGGTGACTTTGAGTTCTCGTCAAAGTACAGGTACAGCTACTCTCTTGTAGAACACAGATCTTTGCATAAACCAATATTAATTTGAATTACTTGTAATGACTCTAGGGGGAGTGCCTGCTGTTATTTTATGTATCAGACTGTCAGTGAGTTGCACTCACTACTGATTATTTCCATTAGGAATATATTGTTAATAATTGCTGTAATTATTAATATTCTTTGCCCCCCAGCGTCACATTAATTTAATGACTAAAACATCAGCATATCTTTTAAAACTAATTGTCATTGCCAATAATGAAAATAAAAGTTTTTAAAAAAAATTGGGGGACCGTCTACCCATTAAAGTAAGATTCTGAAACACAACTTGCAATCAGAATTTGGATTTACCACTGTTCAGATCTCCAAATTGATCAAACTATCCAGTTTGTTTCATATTCTAGGTGTATCAGTTGAAATGAAGAATGAGCTTGTGTAAAAGTGCTGCATGTTACAATCACCCACCAACTGATGCCAAGGAAAGCTTTGATGACCTCTGCAGCAGTGAAAAAAAACAAAACATTGAATCTGCTTGAGTGGGGCTCAATAGTAACTTTCTACTGGTGCTGTCATGTTGTACTCTATGACCAACTTGTCCCAAAGAAGAATGCCCATTACTGTTAATAGATTATTATGAAGTTTGTCTTGCTGTTTAAAAAGCATGAGTCTGTTTAATTTATGGAGGACAGCAAGAACTGTAGCTTAAAAATAAATAAGCCAGCAGATGACTGCACAAAAAAGAACCAAATATATCATTTTATCAAGAATACAATCAATTTCATCCTTAAGCAACCATATCTTTGTATGTTTAAATCTGAACAACAAATGTTGGCAGATTTTTTGCACATGTGGTGCCATTAAATAATGGACACAGTTTTTCATCAATTTCACGTCTGTGGCTATCACACAATTTTTTTTTTGCTGCTAGAAGAAAATCTTGGACCAGCTTAGCATGTCATTGTGTATGCTTGTCGAGCATTTGTAATAACTGCTCTTTATATTATCAGACTACATGATAAATGTTGAAAATTTCCATGCAGACATCATACAATTACTCGCTTGGTTCCCTTGGATCAGAGGACAATGCTGGCAATCTTGTTTGTTGCTATTGTTTTTTGACATTATCATATCCTAGCTCAGACTTGTTTATTAGTTCTTTTCTACTCCATTCCAAATTATCCTCAGATAAGTAACCGTATATTTTTTTAAAATTTACTTTTGTTTAAACTGAGTTATAATTCACATGTTTTAGGACATTGACATTTTTATAAACTTGAATAACTGATGAAAGTCTTACTTTGATTCAACAAAATTATTCATATCTGGAGAGCATAAGCAACATGTCATTCTGAGGTTGTTCTTCTTTTTTTAAACAATGGCCTCTTTAGGTATTATTATTAGTAACAAAAGAGATCTGTGACTGTGAAGGATTCTCTCCAACATTTCCATAAGCAATCTCACCACATTGTATCTTTATTTTTTTTAAACAATCGAAACATGTTCATATATATTTTATTTTCTAGAAATAATTTTAAGCAGGATTATCAACTTGGGTATAAATGACATAAATTATGGGACCTAATTGGCTAATAGTATTACCTTCTGAAGTGCCATATTTTTATTGTTTAGATTTGTGAGTTACCACACTTAGAAAAAAGAAAGTACATTTTAAAAAATCAATGGAAAGTGTAAAGTCCATTAGAAAAGTAATGGAGCTTTAAACATATTTTTGTTTGCAATAATTCTTACATTTTAATGCGTATTTACTTAAGAATAATTTATTTAATTTGTTTAAGATATGAAAATTTGAGAACCACTGGTCTACTTCACATTCTTTAGCCAATGAACAGGCCATTGCTTTAATAATGGATGTTTGCAGCCAGGAAAATATTTCCAGATGTTTGATGGTAGACTAAATTGGTCATTTAATTTGTCCCAGTGCACATTGGTATTTAGCATACACTTTTGGACCACACAGGGACTGACCGGGTCTCAGCTTGGACCACACTGGGACTGACCGGGTCTCAGCTTGGACTACACTGGGACTGACTGGGTCTCAGCTTGGACCACCCTGGGACTGACCGGGTCTCAGCTTGGACCACACTGGGACTGACGGGTCTCAGCAGGCAATATCTGGTTTGAATAATCTGATTAACACATTGATGAATTTTTATATTTAATCTATGGACCTTAAGGGCTATTCTCATTCTTGTTAGATTATTTCCAGTGAAGATTTATTCAAAACAAGACCTGTCCAGGGTACTGACTAAATAGCACTGACATCTATGTATTGTGTAAATATTTACGAACTCTTCAAGTAGTCCTTCTCAATCATTTCACATTTTTTGTGTCACCCTGCGTTTTGATGAACAAACAGTTTGAGATAGTTAAATAGTTGTCACAAAGTGATCTGAATGGGCTGTGTAATGTATGCATTGTATTCGGTTGCTTCTCTATCAACAAGTGCATTGGTGTTTGTTTGTTTTTTTACTGCTATGAAGCAGTTGATTTAATGGTGGCCAAGAATTTAAAAAAGCACAGGCTTTCAAACAGGAAGTCATATCACTAGGTTGCCATTGTATTAACTAAATTAATTTACATATGATAAAAGGCTTTATTTTTTTTAAACATTTTATGTTTGTTGTTTGTTTTTTTTTTGTTTTTTTTTTTTGACTTGTCAATGTAAAAAGAAAAAAAAGAAACCTTTTTGAAATATTTTTTGCTTTGAAATCTACAAATTTACATTCCATATTTTTTTCAGACCCTTTATTTTTTTTTTTTTATACTTTTTATTTTTGTTTTTTTTTTTTTTTTTTGTTTTTTTTTTTGACTTGTCAATGTAAAAAGAAAAAAAAGAAACCTTTTTGAAATATTTTTTGCTTTGAAATCTACAAATTTACATTCCATATTTTTTACAGACCCTTTGACTTTTAAAAACATATTGTGCAAAACATTTTTGTTTTAATTGAAAGACTAGTTGGAAACTTTTAATTTCCATTCATCTGTGTTACTGCTATTTTATATGTTTAATTTTTTGTTCATCTTTACTACAAATGCATTTACAAAGTATTTTTTTTTTGTACATGAATGTCAGGGCCTCTTTGGTTTTTGTATCATGGCCCATTTTGATGTAAAGTGAATGCTACCATACAGGGCCGATTCTCTAACAGTTTAGCATTGATAAATAAATAAAAGCGCACCAATACACTTTCATTAGTGCCCCAGACTTTACTAGGTGCATCAATTCACTTTCATTAGTCCCCCAGACTTTACTAGGTG